ATTTAATTCATCACCTAATTGATGGATTATTTCTGCTCTCCTATTTTCATTTTCTTCCTTATCTAATTCTTCTGAGACCTTTTCTAGTTTATTTAATGGTACATAAAGTAAATCAAAATAAATTCCTTGTGGAAATTCTTTACAACGGGTACAATTTTCTATTGTTTTTAATGCGTCAAATAATTTGCTTGAATTGATTGGTTCATTTAACTCATTTAGTTTGGTGAGTAGTTTACGTAATAAGTTGAAAATTTTACTCATTTTTAACAATTATTAATATTAATAAAGTCATTCTAATTTTATTTCGAAAATCTTCATTTTCGTCAACCTACATTTCCCGCCGATCTATAATGGGTTGTAAAACAGTAAAATTTGGAAATTATTCTGATAAGAATAGAGATTGGCACCGTCTAAAATTCTTTAACCGGTTAAACGGCTAACGTTGCCAATCTCGAGAATTACCAGCAAAGAGGTAAAAATAATATTAATAATCGTTATTAATACTGTCACACAGTGCCAAATCACAAAAATTCATATGATCAAAGGCATGATTAACAGTTTGACCATTATGAAGTATTGCATATTCAGGGTTTTTGAATCTACTCAACATCGAATTATTTTTACAATATTTATTTTTAAAAATAATGATTCAATTTTATTTGAATAGTTGTAGACGTAAATTTTTTCATAAGTTTTACAAATCAAAAAACAAATAAATCGAATAATAAAATAACAATAAATTTAATTAGTAATTCGTCTCATCGCGCTATCAAACATATATTATTATATGTAATGCTTATATATTTTTTTAATTATTTGATATTTCAGTTAACTGCTGATCCATCGTTGCAAATTGTTATTAAATGTTCTAAATTTCCACAATTGTCTCTTATTGAACAAAAATATTTTTCCAAGCATTGTGTATCAGATGGATTGCCACCAATATAAAGGATTTTAAGCGTCTTTCCATTGATTTTAATGAAGCAGATAGAAATGGAAATGGTTTAGAATAAATATCCAAATCTAGATGTTCTATTTTTGGGAAAAAACTGGATTTTAGATTTATTATTAAACTTTTTAAATTTTGAAATGATGGAACAATCAAAGAATTTGATTTGTTTTCTCCGTAACATGTGTAATTAATTATTGATTTGGAATGAAGTAATATTGCGTCCTTGAGATCATCTGATAATATTATTTCAAAGTGTGACTCAAGAAGCAATTCTTTAATTCGATGTTGTGCTTTAATTAGTTGAACGAGGCTATAACTACTAGCATTAAGATCGTCACTTGAAGAATCTTCGTCGATTTCACCAACCTTTATTTTTAAGAATTGAATATTTTTAGAAGTGATTGTTAATCTATCAATAAATTCAAATTTATTACAACAATCAAAGTCACAACGTAATTCATAGAGATTTTGAAAACATGCGTCAAAATTATGATGATTGATTAACTCTTCACTTGCCTTACTGATGTGCGCAAGCGTACTTATAGTTGCATAGTCTAAAATAAGTTCTATTAATCTTTTCCCCGAACATTTGTATTTATCCTTTGGGGAGCTTTTTATTAGAAACCTCACTTTCGAATCAAAAATAACAAAGTCCATCAACTGTAAATTTAGGATGATAAAAACCTATCACAGTTGTGAATTTAGCATAATTGTGTAAAGGTGACTTCTCTAATAATTCAAAATTTAATTCAATCTCATTTTCCATCAAGAAATCCTTGTCCTCTGCTGACAAACAATTAATTAATATTTTGATGTTGTTTACACAATAGAATGGGTCCTTCCATAAACATGAGATATTGAGATTATACCATTGTTTATTAACTAAAATACAAGAATATAGTGTTTTATAATCATAATTAGTGTATTCGGTTATTTTACTTAAAAGCTCTGGTGATAAATGTATAGTTGACATTTTTTATTTATTAATTTGTACCATTTTATTTAGATTATATTTCTTTTGATGCATCCACCTGCCAAAAGCATCCGGATGGTAACATACAAAAATACTCGTATGTAAATATTTAAAGATACTGGTTTCAGAGAGCTTTTTTTGTCCAATAAAATATTAGTGATGTTAGCCGGCTAAGAAATTTATCGGCTAGCCGGCTTAGCCGGCTTGATTCAATCAAATTCTATTCTCAAAAATAATAAAAAATATTCATTCATTCGTAATGCTGCCAAAAAAGAAAAAGAGAACTAATCCACAAAATAAGCAATTAATTAGTTCCAACACTCGTAGCAAAGCAAATTCTTGGTCTGGTGGGTCATTGC